ATCTCCTTAGAAGTAGCAATTATCAGTCAACTCACTGATATTTTATCCATAATATGAAATGACTAGCTCCCTACATGAGTGAACTATCAGTATGATTATTTAAATGGGTTAAATTTTAACTGATCCAAATTGCTCTCATAGGTGCCATCTAGGTGAAAGCATAACCTTTTTTTCTAACATAAAATGTAACATTTCAAAATTATAAGGTAAGCAATTATTTTTAAAGAAAGGAACACGCTCACTTCACAAATGCACAAATACTAAAATGGAATAATAGATTAGCACGGCCACTGGTAAAAGATGACACAAATGTATAAAACATTCCATACTTTTGAAATTATTTTATTAAGAATTTTAATCAAATGAATAGATCTTTACTGTTCTTATCACACTGAAAAGCAAAAATCTGAGTTGACACATTTTAATTTAATACATAATAGTAATTGTTATGATTTAAATCCAATATCCCCTAAGTCCATGTGTTCAGAGGTGGAGCTTTTAAAAGGTGAGTGGATCCTCGGGACTTTTACTCTTCAGTAAATGTGTCCTAGGAGACTTCACAGCTGAGTGGGTCGCCAGGAGTTGGGCACTGGTTGGGGGAGGATTGTTTACCTGTCCTGCATTTTCTACTCTCTCTGTGCTTCCAGTCACCTTGAGGTGAAGACACTCTTTCTGTCATGTCCTTGTGTCATGCCATCTCTCCATTGGAGCCAACTGTCCAGGGACCAAAGTCTCTGAACCTATGAGCCAAAATAGTTTCTCAGTTGGAGGTATCAGGTTATTTGTTGTAGTGACAAGAATGTGATTAATATACAGTAACCTTTTTAGTACGTGAATACACCTCATGCCATCACATGGTGAATCGCAAGTCTACAATATCACAATAGAGTTTATGCCCACACCCCCGCATAAAAGATATAATTTTTGTCATTTCAAAAATTCCTGATATTTTTCTTTCTTATTATGATAAATGTGAAATGCTATATGGTTTGGTCTCAAGATATTAACGAGGATGACTTCATGTAGCATAGGATTCACATTGGCTTTCCAGAGGAAGATAATCAGTTTCAGACTTACTGAAAGAGGATGTGGAATGAAATGGATTAATTGATCCTGTGTTCCATGACCATATAAACAGTCATGGTGACTGGAGGGTGGTGTAAATTTTGTCTTATCATATGGTTCTTAGCATAGCTTCAAGTGGTGCTCATTCATACCAGAAAGAAAATGAACAAAAAATGCCCGCTGCCATGGAGTTTTTGGTTTTCATAGCAACACCTGGCACACTTCACTTTCCTGGCACATGAGGACTATAATTCAATTTCTATTGATGAAATTGAAATCCTTTAAGGAAATCTTACAGTAATTAAATGACTCTGCTTCGTGCAGAAATTTTTTTCTGTTTTTGAATTTGAAGAAATGTGCTTCTCTTTACCCATCTTTTGTCTGCATCTCCCTTCCAATTTAAGTGTGTTCTTGTGAGAAGTAGAAATAAATGCTGTAATTAAAAGCATTTCTGATAACATTCTACATCAGGGAATTCACTTTTGCTGTGGACAGTCTTTGATACAGAAAACACACAACAGATGGCATGTTTAATGCTAATCTCCTTATTATTCACCACCCAATGTTACAGGCACATTCACATAGCAAACTTCACATAGCAAATAATTATGGACTAGGTTTAATGATCACGCTATCTTGAAGCCTATTTTAGCCTATTCATTGAATGATACTGACTTACAGTGACAATGGAGGTTTTTCTTGTCTTGATTTGCTTCAAAACATTTATTCTGGAATTCTAATCAATTTTCTAGGTAATCTATTTATGCAGTTTGACTTTTCAGTTCAAAAACACAATTTTGTTGCTTTTATTTGCCACAACTATGAATCATTACTCATTTTTAGGGAAAAGTTTAGTAACTGATTATATTTGAAAAACAAGAATAAGTGAATGTTATAAATGAAAATATTAGAGGTTCATAGATGTAGAAATTTCTGTGAAAGTGAAGTCTGGAGAAGTTGCAACAAACAAATCACAGGTACTGGGTACCACTCGCTCAGAACTACTGCCTTATTCTCATTAATGAAGAAAATTTCATCTCCATGTTCTTTTGTTCTGGCTGTTTTCAATTACTTTCAATATTAGCTTAAACCTATAGGAGAAGAATTACTAAAATTGACATGATGCTTACTGAGTATTAAACATTATGTTTAATAGTCTTACAGTTCATATAACATAAGAAGTACTCACATAACTTGTACACTGCTATGGTCCTGTTACATTCATGAAGTTGTGCGTTCATTAGCATTATCAGTTTTAGAACAATTTCATCAATACAGAAACAAATCTGTACCTATTAATGAACAATTTTCACCTCTATCACCCCTCTGTATGACTTAGTATTAGCCAATACTTCACACTCAATGCAAGGTGTAATGACATTTTCCACACAAGCATTATGGCAATAAAAGACCTATATTTGTTTAGCAAGCATTTATTGAATATTTTCCAGGTGCCAGACAAAATGATATGTAGTAACAATAGACAGCTAAATAAAACACTGGATCCTGTGATTTAGTTAGAAAGTAATTGCATAAGAACTACAGTTATGTATGTGAATAATTCTTAGAAAAATGAGAAAAAGTACTATAGCAAAGGCATTTGAAAGTGATACATAATTGTAAAAGAACTTTTGATTAAATTCGCCTAGAGCAAGGGAACTGTAAAGTTTAGATACAAATCCTATAACAATTATTTATTAACATTTAATGACAATATTTATTTAATACTCATTGCCATGGTTCATATAAATCTAGAATCCACAGTTTTGAAGATGTATAAGTCTTGATCCTGAAAACTTGAGAGATCAAAGATACATTCTAAGAAAGATATTTGAGCACCTTTAAAACTTTTTTTTTTCTGAGTTGGATATAATTTTGACTCTGGAAATATTACCAGGGCTTTTGAAATTATCCCTGGTACCAACTCACTTAGTATATTCCAATAAGATTTCTCATCATAGTAAGAAAGCATTTACATATTCACAAATTAAGATAAATTTTTTGTTTAATACTTGAGAACACAGTGCACCTGATAGGTTTAAAAATTAATTGTGCCTTTCTCACTTTCCATCCTTTTATCTATGTTCTTTTTGTTCTTATCAATTATCTGAGCACTCTCAGTGTACCACGAAGTATATTTGCTTATTCAGTTAGACAGTCACACTATTTCAAACCCTTTTTATGAGATAAGCATAAAGAAACAAGTACAATCTAAGTAACTATGTGTCCATTTTTATCACCATATTTATTATTGTGACAATAATTTTGACTGATCACTCTCTCTCATTCCTTCCATCACAGCATGACTTCAGATGTCCAAGTTCACAGAAAAATTATTTCTATAGATAACCCATTTGCCACTCCTGCACTGTATTTCTCATGACAGTCATTTCTTGTTCATGCTTTTGACCTTCAACAAATTAATGTGGCATTTTTTTGTTTGGTGATGATTTAACATTGCTGGTCCCTGTAGCAATAATTTTTCCAGTTTAAAGTTTACCGTTCTGCCTGCTGATATAGTTTCATATATTTATATGAAGTCATTTTATGTAGTAGATTTTATGATCTCCATTATGGAACACTTACTTTGATTTATGTATTTATATCTTAGTTGTGCTTAATGGGTATTGCTGAATAAAACTGGTAGGATCATCAATTTCAAGGGAGAGAGTTTCCTATTTATTGCACACACCAAAACTAAAGACAAAGCAATTAAGATACCACGCACCCGCAGAAGAGAGGGATTTCCATTAAATATTCTATTTGTGTGGTTATTAAAAAAATAGGAGAAAGTTGATCCTGGTGGCCCCAGACTCTACTAGTTGATCACTAAATCTTGCTTATCTATTATGTTTGGGGCACAGAGACTCTCACTGAGGTATCTAAAAATGGTGGAGGGTCAATGGTTGAATTGTGTTTCCTTCCCTTGCAAAGGTAGCAAAATAATATTCAGCTCTGTGAGATTAAAAAATCAAATAGAAAGTTTGGCTCGACATGAGAAGAGAAATGATACCAGTTGATAGAGAAAGATGTCATCTCAGGTGATTCCCTCAGTGCTTACTGAGTTATGTTACCTCATGTTACATGATATGATCATTGTTGATTTATTATTTAAACAGTAACCTATTAAATAATAATTTATGTAAATGATAAATTCATAACATGACATATTAAAGTTATCTTTTAGAAGCCACCTTTACTTTTTTTCTACTTAACTCACTAACTGGTGGAGACAGCAATTAGCTTTTAGGTTTTGATGCTGGATTTTCTTTCTTGTAAAATATATTAGTCTCTATTTGAATCATTTTATAGCATTGTTTTGGAAGTTACTAACCTAAGCGAAATTTCCACTTTGATTGCTCAGTAGACATTTTGAAAACTTGTCCAGGCTCTACAGCAGGCACGCTACAAGTATTTTCCCTCAACTACATTGCAGTGTGAGACATTATTAACCTAACTTTAAACATTGAACAGCAGCAGCAATAACAAAGTGTTGTTCACAAAATTTAATTTATCCTAAATCAGACAGCAAATATCTAATCTCAAATTAGCAATCAATGCTGACAAGTCTCACAAAGCTGCAATATCCCTGAATAGATAGCTCCACCTTCTGAGAGGATGACAGTGTAAGCTTAGGTTGTGGCTGGGGATTTAGCTCAGTGGCATAAGTGCCTGTCTGGCGATGGTGAGGTCATTAGCTCAAAGTTTAATGTAATCTTTGGTGGAATGAAATTTTAAAAATTGCCTAAAAGAGCATTTTTGTTTTACAAATATTAAATAGCATTTGTTCATTTGCTTCAGTGATCTTCATGTAGCATATTAAGTAAATAAATAAAATACTTAACATATCAAACTATCAGATAATCTGTAACTCTTGATAGATACATAGTATACACTTTACAGAGACAGGTTTTTGTTTGCTTTTCTGGTACCAGGAATCAAACTCCGGACCTTATCCTTCCTGAAAGGCGATATGCCACTGAGCTATATCCCCAGCAGTACAGAGACAGGTATGAATTTTCATCTCAACCTAATCACTCATTATGATAAAAGTAAAACATCAGAAATTAGTTTGTGATCATTTTTGCACTTTTCCCTTGGCATCAGCACTTTAGAAAGCAGTAAATGTCTGGTGGGAGTTTATCAGCTGAGCCTACAGTGGTATGCCCTATTTTTCAACTTTTCATGCATCTGTCACTGTCTAGGTTTTAGCCAAGTTGCTGAGCATCAGAGTCTTCTCTCAACAAAGTGCTAAAATCCATAACTCTGAAAACCCTCTTTTAACCAATAACTAATGCTCTTCAACTGAAGTGGAACTGAAAAACTTAACAAAATATGAAAGCAATCCCCTATCAGTGAACCTGGCAGCTTCTATTTCAATTTCTTTGGGGATTCAAAGGTAATAGAAATATAGATATGAACAGTACTCCCTCTGCAGTTTATTTCAGAACTGCAAACTAGGGTCAATGACAAGTTTCTGGAATAGATGTCAGAGAATATGAAGCTTCCTGGCAATATAAGTGTTTTATGCTCTGTCTTGATTTGTATATTAGTGACAAATATTTTTCATGAAACTATTTTTACTTTTAATTGACTCTTTGTTAGTAGACTTGTTTGCTGACAAATCATTAACAATGATTCTGATCTTTTTTTTAACAGGAGTAAACTTTTGTGAAATTAAATAAGAGCAGATTATTTTTAGTGAGTTTGTCAATTTCTGGAATATATGATGTTTTACTGATGCGACTATGTCTTCACTATATGTATGCATACAACAGCATACATAAGGATGCATATACACACATGTGTATGTATATATGTAACATACATACAGTTTGATGTTACTTCTTTTAAAGTAAATATACATGTGAAAATGATTTTAAAAATACAATTGAAATGATGTGCAATGGTGTGTGGTAACTTTTTATTTTAATTACCCATGAAAGATATTTATCAATTCCATCGTAAAGTACTGCTTTTACTTTTTTATAGCTTGCTTTCTCCTAGGACCTAATTCTACACAAGAATAGAAAATTGAAAAGGAGGGAGACTGTGGCAAAAGTAATTGATGTCCCTTTCGGTTTTCCCCTAGAGAATGCTTCCGCAATAGCTTAAAGTCTCCTGATTTAAGTCTCACAGTTTAACTTGTCAATATGTAATTATGATTCCAAAACAAAACGGGTTACTTTACATTTGTGTTGTGGTGCTGTCTCGCTGAGTGAGGAAGAACTGGCTAGAAGAATGCAATGTCTCATGAGCAGTTTCTTATTTGATGATCTACTGGGGTTAGAATTCTGACTGTGGCTACTATCTTTAACAATTTTAAGCAAGATTCCTCCAGAGGTTCTATAATAGCTATAAAGGTTTCAGTCCATGATCTTAAATTTGACTGCTATGATATTAAGCATTGTAAAAGAAATATACACACATAGTTCTCTGTGCATAAAATATACACATTAATATATCAAACAATCAAATCTACGTCCTTCATTTATAATTAACATTTTTGGATTTTATATTAATTTGAACTTCTGGAGGAATAACACCCTCAAAGCGATAAAGCATTTATATTTTAATAGTTGATTTGGATTAACAAAATGCTTTTTTACCTCATTTTGATTAAAAAGTAAAGGCTAACTGCTTTGGGTTGTAGAGAAAATGTGTCTTTTACCTTTTATCTTTGCTGTGATATTTTTTACCTTTTCTACCTTATGGCTAAGGCTAAAGTAAAGTGTTTAGATTATGTATTATAACCTCACAACTCTATCCATGTGTTAGTGTTCAAAAACATACAAGTAAGGTACTTACTAAGCAGCTACTACCTACAGCCTTGTAAACAGTGTGGAAGTTACATGGTTTGTTCTCTCATGGGGCTTGTCTAGTGAGCAAAGTAATGTCACGTATAATTTACCAATAAAAATTTAAATAATTTCAATAAAGAAAGCTACAGAGTATTTTAAGACTGAAGAAAAAAAGAATCTTTATATAACTGGGTGTTGGTGGTGATGTTTGTGAGGAAATCACATCCATACTGGAGGGAGAGGTGTTGATGGATGAAGAGGATAATGTACAGTAGCAGAAAGAGATTAGAAGGCGTGGGGGGAAGTAAAGAGAAGACATACTTGAAAAAGAAATGAGGACAGTTGTCTTGGAGCCCACTGAAGAAGAGACTGATATAGAGCTCTTTTAGGGTCTTGTGGTTCTTACGGCTTTTTAAAGTTAACAATTATTGACAGATTTTAACGAAACGTGAATGGAGCTGGGTGTGGAGCAGGACTGAGGGAAGTTTTAAATAGTGAAAGTGACATTTCACTGTAGTAACTGGATAGACTATGGTGCCATTTACTCAAGTAGGAACCATTAAGGTTATAAAAGACCCTTGTGAGAAATAAAAGTGGCTCTGTCAGTGTCAGAAATCAAGAGAGCACTCACATCAAAAATATAAATATGAGAAAAAAAAAACTCAGCTGTGTTTAAGCTGCTCCTTATTTTTCTCTCAAAAGAGTTTAGCCACAAAATAATCATTTAAAGATACAGTAAGGGCAGCTTTTACAAAGCACCCAAGAGCAGAAGCCACACTAGAATTTGTGTAGTGGTAGAACAGAAACTGTAAGGGTTAGGTCTTTATCAAAGATATGTGTGGAAAAGGAGAACTCTGAGGTAGTTACATGCTGTTGACTGAAAGAAATTATTTCTGGAAATAAATATGATTTAATCTGTTCGAAAGACCCATAAGACAGTGAAAAGTTATAAGACAGAGAGATTAATTTAGCAGCAGTATATTTACAAATGCTAGAGGGTTTGGGGACAGAGAAGCCACAAGAAAGATTAATTAACAAGTATTTCATTTTAAAAGAAGGATGTGTAAATATGTGTTGGTATCTTGTATGTCACCAATTCAAGATTATTCTCAGAAGATTTCAGCCTTCTCTGTATATTAATAGGCTACACGTTTTGAGCAAGGCTGAGAGGCTGACACTGTAAAGAAAGTAAAGAAGAAAACTGAGATTGTGGGAAAAGGAGGCAGAGCAGATGAGGAAACGGAAACTCATTGGAAACACTGACTGTAAGGAGGATACACAAATTTGACTGAAAGCCTGATGTAATTTTTGGTCCACACAGTTGACATTCTACCTGAGACTGGTGACCATAAATATATAGCTAAGCCATGATAGTTACTGTGATTTTGCCCCCTATAAACATAAAGGACAAATTTATTAAAAGGTAGTGTTTTCTTGGTTAATTTTCCCTATGCATACAAGGGCAAAAAAGCTATTGACTAGAGAGAATTTTCAGATGGGGTATAGAATTTTAAAACTAAAGTTAGTGAGAGAAACACCTGCACATTTCACTGTTTTATGAGCTCAGAAGATTTATTTAGTCATTCATTGTTGAAATTTTCATTTGTAACAGAATATAAAATAGTTTTACTGGGATATCTCAAAAAAGATTTTCATACAACACGTTTAATAAGAATAATTATATTAAGACAGCAATCTTTAGCAGTTGTACTGTCAAGTATAATGAGAATGGTAGCCTGGACTACAGCTGATATGTAGGATGGAAAAGGCAATTGTTTCTCAAGGCAATAAGGTAAAAAAAAAAAAAAAAAAAAAAAAAAAAAAAAAAAAAAAAAAAAAAATTAAACACTTAACAAAGAGCATCACTGCCATTGAGATGCTATTTTTAGCCTAAATAAAGTCTGCTAAGTCTTTGACAATGTTCTTAAATTTTCTCATACTATCCAATCTATGACTGTTGCAATTTTCTATATAAAGTTATATAGGCAAATCACCCAGAAAAATCTACAAATACCAAGCAAAGGGTTAATGGTTTTTAACGTACAAGTACTTGTTACTCATAAAGAAGATTCTATTATGATACTGTTTCATATAAGTGATAACAATTCACAGTAGATGCGCAGAGGTCCAGAATTACATCAGAATTTCAGATATAATGCGTAAATGTGGTATTTGTGTGGGGTAGCCTACCATATCACAGTGAATATTCTGTCATATAAAAGAATTAAATTTTTGTTAGGCTTGGTCTGATAGATTGTTACAGATCAAAAATTGTTGCTTAAATCAGTGATAACATTTTGTTTCTATTATGTCTGAGATTACTGCCATGAATATTTTAAGGATTAATTCTAATATTGTAAAGTTGTATTTTCAATTATTGAGTACTTTATCAGTATAGGTTTCATATAGTCTAGTCAATCTTTCCTTTCTAATTTGGGCTTATAAAATTCAATCAGAGAATATTATTATTATTATTGCAGTATAATAAAATAGCCCCTTTATATTTAGGATATTTATTTGATTTTGAAGAGTGATTATTTCAATGTATTCTCTAACATACAAATGAAATATTCTTAATTTTAATTTTTTCTTATAAAGATACCTGTCATAGTTGAATTTTGTTTTCATTATCTACATTTCTCTATTCAGAATCCTGACTTTTCCTTTTCTAAAATCCCATTTGTCCTTAGTGTGCTCATTATAAATCTCGTCTTCTAATGTTTAATTGAATTGCCACACAAGATAAGAGATGTTTCATATACTGTTTTAAGAATACATAGAATCCTTACTTTGCCCATTTTACTCAGTATTAGCATTTTGTGTAATACCATAATCAAGGTATTGGCATTGATATAATCTATATGGTTTATTTATAACTCACTAGTTTTACTGATTCTTGCCTGTATGTGTGTGTTTTTGTGTGGTATGCATTCAGTTTTGTGTCATTTTTTTCACTTGTGTCATTTTTTCACATACACCAGAATAGTCTAATCCTGAAGTTTCTGTACCACATTAAACTCTTTTACTGTTTTTCATTCCTTACATATCCAAAACCTGCTAATTACTAATTTGTTTTCATTTCTTGAATTTTATCATTCCAAAACGTTTTATAATAGAAGCATACAGCAATCTTTTTTATTGGCTTTTTTCATTCATTATGATTCTCTGCAGATTTTGCACATCTGAATAGTTAATTATTTTTTTATGTCTGAGTGATATTCTTGGTAATATCAGTTTATTGAATCATTAATTCATAGGACATCTGCAGTCTTTCCATAACATACCTATTAAGATGAGAGCTGCTAATAGTTTTCCTCAAATGTAGTCAAGTTGGGGAGTTAGCCCTTCAAAATATGAATTTGATAAAATGTATATACTCACTTGGTAACAAGCACAGGAACACAGCAAGTTAGTTTATGAAGGAATTTTTAAGGCTTAAGATACAAACTAGAAAAAAGGAAGAGATGGGATGATGGGTTGAAGATTTTGATAGATTGTGAAACTAGTTTCCAGAGAGACTGTATCATGTTATATTTTCACTATAAATCAACAATAATCCCATATCTCCATCTTCTTACCTGCATTGATGTTGACTAAAACTCATATGCCATCATCAACCCATCATCCCATCTCTTGTCTAGTAAACTTACAGATGCTCTTAATGTTCTTCATAGAGTAGCTTGCATACTACATCTTCACATGGAAAGAGAAAAGGTCTTCCTTTTCTACAAGCACAGCCAGCATTAGTTGACTATGGCCCCACCAATATGATCTCATTAACACCGCCTAATAGTCTTCCTCAAATGTAGTCAAGTTGAAGAGTTAGCCCTTCAGAATGCGAATTTGATAAAATGCATATACTCACTTGGTAACAAGCACAGGAACACAGTAAGTTAGTTTATGAAGCAATTTTTAAGGCTTAAGATACAAACTAGGAGAAATAGACTATAAGACAGAAATTTATTTGTCAAATTAAAATATGGTTCCACATTATGCTAATGTGGTTTTGCATGTTTGTAGTTAGTAAGAATGAAAATTTCCAGCAGAAACCCTGTTAGCACAACTTTTCCAGTTTTCTAAGATGACTATTTGCCTGTCACATACTTTTAAAGTAAAAGTAAAATTGGTAATGCCTGGTAAGTTTGGTTGCAATTTAAAAAGGTACTTGCTACAGTGATGAAGAAAACTTTGTGTTGAATTGTTGACATTGGTGATAAACTGAGTTTCACTAAAGCCTGCTCTAAACATGTTTTCCTAACTCATCATGCAAAAAAAAAAAATAAATAAATAAATAAGGGCTTAAGAGGTCTTTGTAAGGGATCATGCATTTGCATTGGAGCACCATTTGTTGAGGTCAAGACTATTGATTTATTAGCAGAAGGATGGATTTTTTCAGTGTTATAAAAATAAAACACATTGAAATAATAATTGAAGGTCACTCAAAGATTGACATTCTGGTGTAATGGATGAAGGAAGAAAAAAGTAGACAAGTGTCAAGGGAAAAGGAAGCTGAAGAAAAACAGTTTTTAACCACCCATGCAGAACACCACACCCATTCCTTGCATTTTTACTCAGATCCAGTCTGAATGTAAACTCTTCCTTTATAAGCAGACATTGAACTCTGAGAAAAGATGACAGATGTAGGTTATATCATGCCTTTTGTCACCCAACATGGAGCTCTTCAAATATATACAAACACACAATTAATGCATTTTCTCATTAGTATGAGATCAACTGAAAAGCACTGATTAAATAACAGTTTTTCTTTAGGACTGTTTGAAATTCCAATAAAAACTAAGGATTTTTTAAAATATAGAAGTTTTTTCTTTACTATTTCCTTTTCTTTATGAAATATTATTATTGCAACCACATTTTCTAATAAAATCCCAGTGAAATTCCTGTGTTCTTACTATACCTTTTCACAGATTACTAACTGCGTTTTGCTCGTATGACTGTGATATATCTAAAAAGCTTCCATGGAAGTTTGAAACACTGAATTTTACTCATGGTGTGTAAATTAATTCATCAAAACCTTGATATAGACTTTTATATGATGCCATCTAAAAACAATTACTGCATTACTAGATGCTAAAATTATGACCTGATTGACCATGTATTTGGGGCTTTAATTTGTTTTCTTATTTTTAAAATGATTGCACCTCACAATTAATAGTATATCAAGTCACTTTGCTATGTCAACTATTAAACACCTGAAAGTCAATACTGCCATTAGTAAGAGAAATGCATATAAAAGATACAGGAGTTTTGATGTATTTATTTTGTATCATTGGGATTTCCTTTTATGATTGATATATTATAGAAGGTTAACTAAGAGACTCAGTAGGGAGCCATGGTCCTACTTTATAAATATCCTCATTCTATGCAAGAGGATGGCGCAGTGATTTTGTGACTGCTACACTCACCTTGGGGGACAGAGGGTGGCCTGCATACAATATAAGAGAAGATAAATTTCCCCCCACCCCTGGGTTTTTGTTCTTGCTGCTTTTGCTGGCTACTGCCCTGGACTGTTCCCCCTGTGCCACCCTGCCTGGACAACTTATTATGAAATGAAACCTCCACAAATTGTAAGCTAAATAAACCTTTCATTCCTCAATTTTGAGTGTTTGATATTTTGTCTCAGCAACAAGAGAATAGTATCTAAGATGTGCGCTCTGTTGATTTGAGTTATGAAGAAAGGAAGCTACAATCTACTCAGACTTTGTTGCTGTTTCCATGTTAGGCAAAGCACTGAACAGCAAGTAAACAGTAAACAAAAATAAATGAGACAGCATCGTGCTTTTTGATAGGGAGGTAAAGCTGAGTTAACATCCTTGGTTTTCTGTGGAAAATGGACGGTCTTCCAAAATTTTATAGATACTTATGGAGGTCTTACATCCTTAAGGTTGATCTGTTTCCCAGAGCCTCTACTTATACAAAGTGAAGCACCATTATTTTTTTGACTTCCTCAAGAAAAACATTATGTCAAAAACTTTTTTTTGTAATAATGCACAGTGGCCTGGCTAGAAATATGAAGAGAAGATTAAAAAGTCAAAAAACTTCATATTGAATGTTATAATTCCATTTTTTTTGAAGTATTTTTAAGGACTCTGCATCCTGACATTCTCTCAGGGCTAAAATCCCTCCTTTAGTGCCTGATTCTCACACTCTCTAATGTTCTTCTGAGATATTGTCACTTCTTCCTCTTTCCTGGAGTAAATCAACAAACACACAGACCAACTGTTTCTTGTTGGAAAAGACAGGTAAAAGGTAGTCGAATATTTCTGATTCTTAACATCATTTTCTAAAACCTTAGCTATTCCTAAATCATCTATTTTTATCCTTCAGAGAGCATATGACAAATCTTAAGACAATGAATAAATTGCCACTTTACTTTTATATTCTGATAGACCAGTGTTCTTGAAGCAATTCTTGTAAATACAAAGACATATACCTGAATATCTGCATGTTTTCTCAAGAAACCTGTCTGAGCCTGGGTTTTTGCGAAGATGGATGTCATTTTATAAAATTGTATTTTCACACAAAAATAATCTGTGATTAATTATGAAAATACTGAATAGTGAAATTGCCTAAAGATGAGATCACTAACTACACAAGAAGTACATAGCTCATGAGTCTCTGATGGAGATAAATTGGAAGCTCTCTCTGTACTGGCATAAACAGCTTCTCTGTCAGTCTGTCATCCTCTCCTGTTTCTGTCAAGCCTGTCTGAGAAAGTTCATTCCAGGGTCTTGTTTCACTGCACTTTCTAGACTTTTTATAGCGCTTATCTTTATCCTATTTTGGAAACTTTAAGGGCAAATTCACTCCTAAAAAATAAGTAACACTTTTCACAAAACCAAGTGATTATTCTTCTACACGTAAATCCTAACCACTATTTATTTGCATGTTGTTATGTTTGCAATATACGGGAGAAAACAATGGAGAAGATGTAGCAGCAATGTTAGGTTACAATTTCAAGACAGAAATTTACCAATGGATACAATTTAGATGATTTTAGCACCAATCAAACCTGAATGAGTGTAAGGTACTCAGAATGTGCACTTATGGATTTGTAACAGTTAAAAGATTATGTGCATATGTTATAACATTGTATTATACTTTTATAGCTTCCTAAATGAATATTCTCCACATGAGTCTAGAAAGAAAAGAAAAGTTACATCTATGTGTTTGAATAAAACCCTTTTGTGCATTTATGACCCCCCAAAAAACAGCCTTGAAGTATCAGAGATTTGAAAACAAAAAAAGACACATAGTAGGTGCCTGATGTATCTTCACAAGTTTAATTTTATATTTGCATTTCTGACATAGATAAAAGATGTAGAAAAATTACGTTTAGCAGATAATCCCCTATTGACTCTACTTCAGGAAAAAAAGAATGTGTTGGAACTTCAGCAGCCAGACAGAATATTTTATGAAGAATACACTAATTTTAGAGAGGAAACAAAGTAGCTAAGAGAAAAAAAAAAAAAAAAAAAAAAACCACATACCATTCTATTTTAAAGACCTTGTGTTTTCTGATAACTTCTGATTTTAGTCAGTTACCTTGCATTTTTCTTTTACCTGTCTTTTCTTCTAAAAACTCCTTCTAACAGCAGACTAGAATGTCTAGGATTACTGGTACTACTGGTAGAAGTATCAAAATCGCCCATAAAAATATTGAAGCAAGAGTTCATCACCAGTGTTGCTTTCAGATCTGCTACCTTTTAGATTAAACCTCTTCTGGTTTATTATGAGCAGCAAAACATTTTTCCCATTCCATAACTCTTTCTTTACAGTGAACTATGTACTAAGCACCTTTTATTCCCTAGGAATCACTGGCTAGTGATAGACAATGTCTTTTGCAATGTAATATGGTAAGAAAAAAATGGATTTGTCAATAACAATAACAATAAACTACGGAAACAATACTTCATTTGTGCAGGTGCCCTGATGAAGATAAAACTCTGTACTGTGACTGTAAAGAGAAGCCAGAGGACTAGTTAGGCTGCCAGTTTAGAATGACTAGATAATCACTCCCTAAAAGTTACATGCAAGCCAAAACTTGAGCACAAAAAGATGAAGAGTGAGAGGACTGTTTTGCCAAAGAGCTGTGACTAAATACCAATCTGTGAAACATCATGAATACTGAATGAACTTGAGTCCAGTAGAAAACGGAGTAAGCAGAAAAACAGACTCTGGACAGATCATGCAGCTACTTGTTCTGAAAATGTGTTTAAGTAAATATGTGTGTATTCCCTTAATTTAATTTTTGGAGGTTACTGGAGATGGAACCACCTTTTGCACTGAGCTATGTCTCCAGTCTCTATTTAGTATTTTAAAACAGGATCTTGCTAAGTTTGCCATGCTGAAACTTACAGTCTTCTAGCATGAGCCACCAGACCCGGCTTCAGGTTTTATTTAAAACCCAAAAAGTCATTGTGAGGTTTAACACAGGGGAAAGACAAAGTCTGATATATAATTTTGATGGATCACTCCAGCTAGTGTGAAGAATTGATTTTTAAGAGGCCATTATAGAAGCAGGGAGGCTAGGCTACCATATAGAGCAGAGGCCCAGGCAGCAGATGGTCCTTTTGACTCATGTAGTAGAAGAGAAAAACTAAAGGCTAAGTGAATTTTCAGGATCCACTGTGGAGAAAACAAAAACATGACTTGGTGATAGATTGGATTTGTCTGTGTACAGGAAAAAAGGAAGCGTGCTCAAGATAAAAGTCAGCTCTGGCCTCACAGCGTGGTAGACCGTGATACTATTAGGACTGGGAAATGGAAGTGGGCGGGGACCGCTGGATGCAGGAGATGATGAGAAAAATAACAAGAATACTGCTTTGGTTATAAAATGGTCCATGAGCATGTAAGACAACCACTTAAGACAATGTGTCTCTGCTGTCTAATTCACCAGGCTTTAACAGTGTTTGCAGAATCTATGAATGTTAAAAAACACCACAGAAGTTAATGAATTCAACTAAAAAAGCAAACCTTTAAGTGAGACATAAATCTGAATTTTGTTTAGAGTACTACCATACTCTCCTAATATTCTCTCTGTATATATTAATATGTACCCTAATGTTCTATATTCACTACTGTGTATATGGTGTTAATAGTATAAATATATATTATCTAGTATGTATAGAATATAAGTATTATAGCATGTAACATCAGATACACAAATATACATACAGATCCAACCCAAATTTTAATGTAAATAAATTATATAAACTGATTTTATTTTATTGTTACCAATAGAGAGTGGTTCCTTGTGACTCAATTTCTTACCTACCCATCAGCCTACTCAAGGAAGACACTTTGGTATGACTACCTATATATACTACGTCTGCTGTACACCAATCAATTTGTTTCTAAAACTAGATGTTGTTTAAAGGTTTAATAATCTGTGAAACACAGAAGACTGTATGCTGGTCTCTGGAAAAACACACTGACTTCTGGATTTATGTTGTGTGACACTCAACAGGTAGATTACAGAGGTGA